CTAATTATCATCTTATTTTTAGTCTTTTGTCTAGCAGCGTTGTGTCGATCTTTTGTAACTTAACCTAGTATGAGGTGAGTTAGAACTTAAGTTAATTTTTGGTTGATTCAAAGACTTCCGCTGTAAACGGTTTAAACGGTTTTATTTTATCCATCTTTTGGAGTATTTATTTAGGAATTTGTTTCAGATTACGTAACACAAAAAAAAATGTGGGTGTTACAAGTTGGTATCAGAGCTTTAGTCTAAGGTAATTAGGTTAAGATTTACTTAGCCTAAGCTTAAACTGAGAGGATTGTTAGAAGCATGTGTTTATTGTGTATTAGTATTGAATATCATGCGATTAAGTTTGATCCTACGTTACTACTTGACATAGTGTTCCTTTTATGGCTTATAGCAGACATGGTTCACACCATTCACACTGGGGCTATCAGACACAGACGTGGACGCACATATGGAACACGTAGGACACCTTACAGGCTAGGACCGAATAGAGAATCTATTGACAGTCATCGCTCCAACGCCAGACATGTTTCCGGCACCCGGTCCAGAAGTGATAGTGTGGCCCACACTAGTGAAGTGTTATCACGAGAGCCCATCAGGCGAAGGACCACACCAAACCCTTAGGAGGACTACACGTCCCACACCCCTACACGTGAGGACATGATGGAGACTATAGAGATCTTGAGGGGCGAGAACACAAAGCTAAGAGAGAGGTTGACCCGAACTTTAGATGGGAATACTAGACTGAATGAATGGCTGAACAATCTTCAGCAGGCACATGTCGAACAAGGAGGAGCCCTAAACCAGCTAATTGTAGAGAATGCAAATTTGTCGGAACAGCGTCATGCACTTATTTGGGATAAAGTTGTACTTCAACAGGAGCGAAGAATTGCTGCTCGCCCCGTAGGCGCTAGATTCAAAGATATAATTCACTTCTATAAGAAAATGACCATAGACTACGCTGGTGTAGTGTGGGGCTATTTCTCCGACTGGGTCCAATGCATCAAAAATGGCCCAAAGGCTAGTGTGTTGTGGCATTCCAGGCCATCCACATCTTTTGAGGAGTGGTTGAGGGACCCTTATCTCCCTTATTACCCCGCAGAGCAGTTTTAAACATAGAATCCTTTTGAGAGAGGGGAGAGAGAAATATATTTTGGGTATGCAATTTAATTGTGCGTGTCTAGATAGTTGATCGAATTTTCATCTAGTCCAGTGCTTCAATAGATTTTTTTGAGCATTCACATGATTTAGATATGTGTTTTGAATTATGAAGTATCCCATCTTTTTTAAGTAAATGGGATTATGTAATGTCTCTCTCTCCATGATTGTTTATTGACACAAAATATATATAGCTTACTGAGCATTATGAAATTTTTGACACAAATTCTTTATTATGTACTTCGCTTATATATAGTGATTATATTATAAAAAAATGTAATGTGTTATGTTTGACTTTAGAACCATGTTAAAACGATAATACCCTATTATGTTAGTATCGTTTCTCGTGGATCAACAAGAAACGCCCTCAATGGGGGAAGTACTAATAGCATGGCCCAACCAACAGTTCGAGGTCGAACACGAGCCCAAAGTCGAGGTCGAGGAAGTGTTCGAACCGCTAGTTCTAGTATGACTCCATCCGTGCAAGCTAATTTAGCTATCGGTAGGAGTCAAGGAGGTCGGGGAGGGGAAAATCCCCTCACAAAGGAAACGATAGTTGAGCAAATGGCACAAGTCCTCCGGGATACATTGCCAAATATGCTTAAAGCAATGTTGGGTGACAGATTTAAAGACAATGAATATGGAGAGGAGGAAAGTGTTCGACATGAGAAGGTGGAAGTATCTATTAAAGAGAAAGTGGAGTCGCCCACCAACGAGAGAACTGAATTGACAATAAAAGAGAAAKGATGCAGTTTTAAAACATTCAAAGGCACCAGGCCGAAAGAACTTAAGGGAATAGAGGGCCCAATTAGCCTGATGAACTGCGTAACCATGATGCAGAGTAGCTTCAAAATTTGTAGATGCATAGAAGATCAAAAAGTGACCTATGCTGCTACAACCTTTGTGGACTATGCATTGCATTGGTGGTAGTCTGAGTTTGCAATCAGAGGTGATGAGGATATTGCTGCCATGACTTGGGAGCAAATGAAAAAGATGATGATGGATAAGTACTTCACACAATCGGAGTGAACAATCTAGAATCATAATTTCTAAGATTAAAGCAAGGTTCGTTGTCGGTTCAAGAATATGTTAACGATTTTCTTGAGAAAGCGAGGTTCGCCAGTTACCAGGTGGCTACCGAGGAGAGAAAGATAGGTCGCTTCAAAGATGGCTTAAGAATCAAAATCAAACGGTACGTGGACATGACTAAACCGACCACATTTGTCCAAGAAATAGAGATGGCGAAGGTGGCAGAGGAGAACAATGCTAGGGAGAATTGTGATAAAAGAGATGCAAAGAGAAGATGGGAAGGATTGAACAGGTTCAACAAGAAACCAAAATGGACTCCGACTCTGGCAAAAACACGAAGCGAGGGATTCACTATTCCTTCATGTAACAAATGCAACAAGAGACAGAGCGGGGAGCTTGACATGCTACAAATGTGGCAAAACTGGGCATACCGCATGGGAGTGCCCAGAAGGAAAAACTTGTTATGAATGTGGGGCTATGGGACATTTATGACCTGACTGTCCAAAACATCAAAATGGTGCGACACCCCGCGTAAAGACAGTGAATAACGGATTTGGGAAGAGATCAGAAAATAGGAAGGAGCTACCTAAGGGACACGACCGAGCTTACAACATGACTTTGGAGGAGGCCAAGGAAACACCCCACGTCGTATCTGGTATGTTCCCTATCAACAATGTGTATGCACATGTATTATTTGATTCGGGTGCAAATGGTAGTTTTGTGTCTACTACCTTCTGCCACTATCTGAATAGGAGTGCCTGTAGGCTAGACAAAACCTACACTGTAGAAACAACTGACGGTAGTCAGTGTAAGGTAGACGAAGTATTTGATGAATGCACAATTATTTTAGATGGTAAGGATTTCCCTGTTAGGCTTATGCCAATGTGTTTAGGGGGTTTTGACGTGGTCTTGGGGATGGATTGGCTGTCTAACAACCATGCGCAAATAGTAAATATGATCAAGATTCAAACTCCGAAAGGAGAAACAATTCATGTTTACGGTGATCGAAAGAAGTGCTACGTAGGGTAAATCAATGCAGTTAAGGCAAATAAGTGTCTGCGGAAGGGATGTGTGGCTTACTTGCCATACACCATCGATGCCAAGATAGAAAAGGAGGCAATACATGATGTTGCAGTGGTGAAGGATTACCCAGAAGTATTTCTAGATGAATTACTCGGAATACCACCGGAACGTCAGGTAGAGTTCCGAATCGATTTGGTACCAGGTGCGGCACCAATCGCAAGGCCGCCTTATCGTTTAGCCCCAACAGAAATGCAAGAGCTGATGAAGCAATTACAAAGACTCTTAGATGAAGGGTTTATCAGGCCAAGCTCGTCACCATGGGGAGCACCAATTTTATTCGTCAAAAAGAAAGACGGCACGATGAGGATGTGCATCGATTATCGGGAGTTGAACAAAATCACGATAAAAAATAGATATTCATTGCCAAGGATCGATGACCTCTTCGATCAGTTGCAAGGAGCCAGCTATTTCTCGAAAATTGATTTAAGATCGAGTTACCATAAGTTGAAGGTTCGAGAAGAGGATGTGTCGAAGATCGCTTTTAGGACTCATTACAGACATTACGAATTTGTAGTAATGTCGTTTGGGTTAACAAATGCACCTGCAACATTCATGGACTTAATGAATAGAGTTTGTGGACCGTATTTGGACCAATTTGTCATAGTCTTTATAGATGACATTTTGATCTATTCGAAATGTAAGAAGGAGCATGAGCAACACTTAAGGATGATTCTTGAATTACTAGCAAAAGAGCAATTGTACGTCAAGTTCTCAAAATGTGAGTTTTGGTTGCATGAAGTACAATTCCTTGGTCACGTAGTCAACACGGAAGGGATCAAGGTGGATCCGGCTAAGATAGATGCAGTTATGAACTGGGTATCACCAAAGTCAGTATCGGAGATCCGAAGTTTTCTAGGCCTGGCGGGGTATTACCGAAGATTCATCCAAGATTTCTCCAAGATAGCAACCCCTTTGACAACACTGACAAAGAAGTCGGTTAAGTTCGACTGGGGAACAAAACAAGAAGAAACATTTCAGACACTTAAGGAGAGACTAAGCATTGCACCGGTTTTTTCACTACCGGAAGGAATAGAAGATTTTGTCGTTTATAGCGATGCATCAAAAGTGGGTTTGGGTGGTGTACTAATGCAGCGAGGAGAGGTCATTGCATATGCGTCACGTCAGTTGAAAGAACGTGAGAGGAAATACCCAACTCACGACATGGAATTAGCAGCTGTAGTCTTCGCGCTAAAAATCTGGAGACGCTATTTGTACGGTACGAAGTGCATGATCTATACTGATCATAAGAGCCTTAAGTACTTGTTTGATCAAAAGGAGCAAAATATGAGACAAAGGAGATGGATGAAACTACTTAAGGATTATGATTGTGAGATTCAGTATCATCCAGGTAAGGCAAATGTAGTTGCCGATGCACTTAGTAGGAAGGAGAGGAACAGACCAATCAGGGTTCGAGCCATGTGAATGAGTGTTAAAGTGGAGTTTCTAGACCACATTCGGGATGTTTAGAAAGAAGCTTTACTCAAAATGAATATTAAAAAGGAGAGAATGGTTGGACAAATTAAGACTTTGAGGGCCGGACCAAATGGAATATATGGACACGGGAATTAGGTTTATATTCCTAGTTTGGGGGACCTAAGAAATGTAGTGATGGATGAAGCACATAAGTCCAAATATACTATGCATCCAGGTAGTAATAAGATGTACAAGAATATAAAAGAAAGCTATTGGTGGCCTGGTATAAAAAGGGTAGTAGCTAGCTATGTAGGGAAATGCTTGACGTGCTTGAAAGTGAAGACAGAGCATCAAAAGCCATCTGGAATGTTGCAACAAATGGAGATCCCAGTATAGAGGTGGGATATGATAACGATGGATTTTGTCACCAAACTTCCAAGGACGGTAAAGGGACACGACACCCTATGGGTAATTGTGGATCGACTAACGAAATCTGCTCACTTCTTACCGATCAGCGACAAGTATACATTAAAAAGATTTGCCCAACTTTACATCAATGAGATCGTGTCGAGACATGGTGTACCGATATCCATTGTCTCAGATAGAGATGTTATGTTTCCCTCAAGGTTTCGGTCAAGTTTTCAACAAGAAATGGGGACACGACTGAACATGAGTACTGCCTATCATCCTCAAACTGATTGCCAAAGTGAGAGGATGATACAAATGCTAGAAGATATGTTGAGAGCTTGTGTGATTGACTTTGGAGGTAGTTGGGACAATCATCTCCCGTTGATAGAATTTGCTTATAACAATAGTTACCATTTGAAGCATTGTATGGCCGCAAGTGTAGAACCCTAATTTTTTGGGTAGACATTGGAAAGAGACAACTAGCTGGAACCGAGTTAGTCCAACAGACATCTGATAAAATAGTACAGATCAAGGAGAGGTTAAGATTGTACAAGATAGACAAAAAAGTTATGCGGATAGGGGGCGTCGACCTTTTCAATTTCAAGTAAGTGATAAGGTTTTGTTAAAAATATCGCTATGGAAAGGGGTCGTAAGATTTGGGAAGAAGGGTAAGCTAAGTCCAAGGTATATCGGACCATTTGAGATAACTGCAAGAGTAGGAGCAGTTACTTATCGGTTGAAACTGCCAAAGGAGTTAGGTGGTATTCACGATACCTTTCATCTGTCGAACTTGAGGAAATGTTTAGCTGCCGAATCAACTGTTGTGGATTTTGAAGACATCGAGGTTAACGACAAACTCGCTTATGTGGAAGAGCCAGTTGATATATTGGATAAAAAGACGAAAATACTAAGAAACAAAAGTATACCACTAGTATTAGTTAAGTGGAAATTCCATAAAGGCGCAGAGATGACATGGGAAACGGAAGAAGAGATGAAAGCTAAATATCCTCAATTATTTTAGCGAGTATTAATTCCGAGGACGGAATTTCTTGAATGAGGGAAGAGTTGTAAAACCCAAATATTTCGAGTAATAAATAATTTATCTTCATTATTATTATTTTCATTTTTTTATTATTAGAAAAGACATACATGTACTTATATATATATATATATGTATATATGTATGTTAAATAAATAAAGAAATTAAAAGAAGTTTCAAAATCGGACAAAAGGTGAAAGAAAAAGTCAAGACATGGGTGAAAATTGCAAATTCGTGATAGTTAAGGGGGTGTGTCAGGTGTTAACAGGTCCAAACCAGAAGGACCTGTTTTGTAATTATGTCATTTTCTGATTTCTTGAAGTGATGGAATAATGCCAACTTTGAGGCTTCTTATTGGCTCGTTCAGTCAACCAATAAGCCAAAAAAAATCAGGAAAATGTAGACAACGTTCCCCTCTACAGTTTTCGTTCAAACTTTTTGAAATTTCGTTGAGAATCGAAGCTCGAAAGTCCCCATCCGAAATCTTCGTTTTTCATCGATTAGAGTTAAAATACTCAACTAAAATTGATGTTCTTTATATGGTTAGCTTTGTTTTTTAGTCCTCTATAGACCCCTAGTAGCCTTATGTTTTAGATTTGGTGTTTTATGGTTCGATTTTGAAGTTTAAAGTTTCGTTCGGTTTAGTTTAAAACTAAAACTTTAAATGAGTAAATGGAACTCATTTCTTGATGAAAATTCGTGTTCTTTATGTCAAAATGTTGGTAAAAATATTACCAAGGTTTTAGTGTAAAAAGAATGAAGAAAAAAGATAAAAAAAAGGGTCAAAATCGAAGCTTGAAATTGAGAAAAAACGCAGCCATGGCTGCTGTCTGTTCTAGGTGATGACCGGGTCGGGTCGGCCCAGATCCGACCCACAAACCTGTGTTTTTGACCCATGAAAAATAAATATGGATATATGCTTAGAGTGGGGGGTCGAACCCGTGACCTCCTATTGAGAGGGGTGCACCTTAACTGTTGGGATAAGAGCTCATTCCATGTTATTTAGGATTAGAAAATTCTTATATTTAATAATTAACTGACTTTTCTTAATAAATTTCTATGTTAACACCATTATTTAGGAAACTTAATATAATATTCATGTTTCGTTAACTCGTACAATTGGGTTAAGAGAATTTTTGATAGAATTATGCATAAAATGTTTGTACCCTAAGCTAGTTTTGTGTTAAAAGTTATGTTTATACCAATATTGGTGTAAAGTTGAGAATCTAAACTTATAGGGTCAAAACCGGCAAATGATTAAATATTATATATATATATATATAATTAATTAAATAAAAAAATTAATATATATATATATATATATGCATGAGAAGGTGTAGTCATCGTCTCATTCTCTCAACTCTTCTCTCCATATTTTTCTCTCTAAAAACTTTCGTCTTCTCTCTAAATTTCAAGACAAGTTACTAAGGAGATCGAGGCAACAATTATATATTTGAAATCCACTCTACGAACCCTTCTTAAAGGTATAAGTTTCATTCAGTTTCATTAAGGTGTTTATTTTAGGGTTATTTAGGATGCTAGTACTGGTTATATTGATGTAGAAATGAAAAGGGTATATTATAGTTTCATTATAGTTAGATTGTGGGTATATGTTTAACCGTACACCAATTGTTCGGTTAAATATCTAAAGAAGTAAAAATGTATGATTAAGCTTAGGTTAGCAACCATTGGATTTGTTTTACTGTTTAGTATGTTTAAGTATATTTATAGCATGTAAATATAGCGAATCATAAAAGTTGGATCATAAAAGTTAGTCGGGAATTACGGAATCGAATTTTACCGACTATGTAACTCCCGTAATTTGACAGTGTATAACTCACAAACCGTAAGTCGGATTAAGCTCGTATGTTGCAGTCAGGAAGATCTTACTGCATACTACAACTTTCATGATTAGTCGAAAATCTAGTTATGAATCTAAGTGGCTCGAAACAGTGTGTTTTTGAGGCTGTTTACACTGTATTCAGAATTAATTTACAGTTTTGTAAAATTCATATAAAATAGATGGATGATCGAAATGAGATGATTTGAAAAGCATTAGACTCGTATGATACCAATCTACAACTTTCATTTAGATAATATAATTTAGATTGGTCTCTAAGTAAGATAAAAATGCTTAGAAATAAGAGGGTCGAAAACGGTTGGATCGAAAGAGAATAAGGTTAACTTTTTACGTTTGAGTTTCAATTCGTAT